TTCCTGACAATCCTCTCCAGGCTGCGGTCATCCCTGCTGCTTGTGCACCTTTTTCTTCCACACTTTTCCCTTCCACATAACTTTCTATTAATGTGCTTTGATACAGCACTTTGGGAACATCCAACTTCTTTTGCAATTACCTTTTGAGGCTTTCCCTCCTTATGGAGGGTGTCAATGATGGTTTTCTGCACAACTGTCAAGTCAGCAGTCTTTCCCATGATTGTGATTCTGACTGAACCAGACTGAGAGACCATTTAAAGGCTCAGGAACCCTTTGCAGGTGTTATGGCTTAATTAGCTGATTAGAGTGGGACACTTTGAGCCTAGAATATTGAACCTTTTCACAATATTCTAATTTTCTGAGATTGTGGATTTGGGGTTTTTATGAGCTGTAAGCCATAATCATCTCACTTATGACACATCATGGCTTGAACTATCTTGCTTTGGATGTAATGAGTCTATCTCATATATTAGGTTCACCTTTTAAGTTGCATTACTGAAATAAATGAACTTTTGCATGATATTCTAATTTTTCGAGTTTCACCTGTAGATTTGACTTAAGAAATATCACTTCAGAGTCCTTGGTGCTAATCTGTCCAGAAATCTATTTTATATATGACATGTCCCCCTTCCTTCCATTATACTTATTCTTAATTTTCCCTCCATTTTTTCTGGGGTATTATATTATAAGCTTAGAAAATATTTGAATTTTTTATTATGACTGAATGATAAAATGTAGTCTGACACTTAAAAAAAACTATTAGATTGTTTAGATTTACTTGCCAAATAATGTTCATTATTGAATGCTAAATTAGGAAATAGTAAATCAAGAAAAATATAGATGCCGAAAATGACTAATTTTTAAAGTCACTTGCAAAATCAGTAACTAGCAATATATTGCTACATAGCCATAATTATTTCAAGATATAAATATTTTTAATATCAGCCCCAAATAGTATATAATGGAAAAATCCTTGTTCCAAATATGTAATTTATAAATCTCATCACTCAGCAAATGTTGTTAGTGCTCAACAAACGACATTTCATGAAAAACAGATAGGGGAGGGAGTCTGAAATAGTCAGAAAAGAGAAACTAATTTTCAGTGACAGTATAGTCTTTCATCTTAAGCCATGCCTTGAACTCTACCTTGTTTAATTATTAAAATCAGGAGCTGCTGTGCAAGATCTGTCTGCTTTTGATGGTTCTTAAATTCAATCCTGCTGACAGACTGTATCCATTTCTTACCATATATATTGTTACATATAAGAAGCTTTGAGTACTAATTTTTTTCCCAACACAATCTTCATTAACAAGAAATGTTTGAATAAGCTTTAAGAGCAACATCAAACTATTTTTCTATAAATATGTAACACTGATAAAAAAAATGTTTAAACAGACTTGATTTGGCACACACAAACATTTTCTTTATGAAATCCACATACACACTTTACCATATGCTGCATCAAAAGAAGAACACCGATACATAAAGCCTCAAACCCAGCTGTCTGGGTGAAGAACAGAGATAGACTTCTGCATTCAAGTTGGTACATTATCTTCAATGTCGTTTGAAAAAGGAATTGATGAAAAGACCTTGTATACAGATGAAGAATTATTTTGGAATGCTGGCAGTCCCCTTTTAAGAAGGCTGCCAGGTGGAGTGTGAAAAAAAAGTATTTGTGGTCATAACGTAACACTTACAGTTGTTTTGGTCTCTGCCAAATATTCTGCTTCCATTTTACTTAAACGTACATTTGTATCCTCCAGCAATTCTTGGATATTTTCTGTGTGTTTTTTCTGAAGATTAAACTTGTCTTTTTCCATCTCAGCTACCGCATTATGGAGCTACAAAGATAAATACAGTCCACAAACATAGAACAATTAAGGGAGAATTCAATACTATGAAAGCTTTTGAACTTTCTTTGATTTATATCACAACTTCTCATTCAGGAGCTGAGGAAGGCATATATTATTCAAATTTTAAAAATATACTTCTGTAAACATATGCTATCTATGATGTTTCCTAAATTTTTAAAAGCTAATTGTATCACTTAATAGACATGTATCTAAATTAATAACTGCATAATAATAACTGCAGCCTGATAGCCTCGTGGTGAAGATGCTCGCCTCTCATTTGGAAGGTTGAGAGTTCAATCCTAAGTGGCGGCAGACGTTTCTCTCTCAAGGAGCAAAGAGAAAATATCTACTGCAAATTCCACATAGGTATCTGGAAAGGCATCAGGCCAGTAAAGAAAAAAAAAATGTAAGGCTTAAATGAAGTAGGTCAGCTATACATAATCAGTATCAAGAATGTCTTCTTCCATATTTGGACACCTTAAACAAATCCAGGCAATCAGTTCATTTGCGAACAAAAAGCTTGACAATATTTTGCCATAAAGTTGAAGTTAAATTAAAAAGTCAAGCTAATGCCTTATCAAGGATTATCCATATTGCTAACCTTTATTTTGGAATTGACAGAATTAATTAATCATAGTACCAGCTTAGGCTATGCAAACAGCTTAGCTATTTTAACACCAGAACCCTGCGAAAAACCCACTGTGGTTTCTTCCTGGTGGGAATCAATAACAGAAGCAATCTATCTATCTCTTGCAAGAGAAGAAAAGTGTTAGTCTATACCGACAAAACATCAGGAGGAATCTAGTAGCACTTTTTCCAAAAGGCTGATGCCTTTTGTGAGCTGCAGTTCATTTCATCAGAGGCACAGAGTGGCTATATGCAGTGAATGGGTAACCTCCCATTACTCAAGCAGCACACGCTTGACCCCCAACAATATAGCTACATGTCGACTGACAGGCAAGATTGCAAAAAGACTGCCAGACAGGCAAAGCCATAATAACTTTAAATGTATATACAGTATACACTTAAAACAACCCACAACCTTTTCCTTTTGACTACAGGAGGTGGGGATAAAGACCTTTTCCTGAGGAAAAGGACATTTTCCTTTCCTCTTTTCTTTCTTAAAAAAAATCTTTTCTTGAGATAAATGAGAAAGCAGCAGCTGCGAGCAGTTTACCTGGAAGGGAGGGTAAAATGGACAAAATGCCTGGAAGAGAGAAAAAAAAAGACATTGCTTAAAGATCAAGCAAGATGGAGACTGGAAATAGTCACTTGGTTTCAGTGAGCCAGTTTGCAGGAGCAAGAAAGAGGTAAGCAATATCTGAGCAGAAGAAAACCATGACAAGTATGAAGCTAATCGTCTCTGGGAGTGACATGATTGAAAATCCTCCGAGAGCAGAAAACAAGACTGGCTCAAGCAGGGAGGAGGCAGAGATTCCAAGTGAATAGATGAACTGGTTGGGTCCTATAGTAAGACCAGAGCTGATTGTCTACCGGCTGAAAACGAGATCAGCAGCCTAACTGTAATCCATAAATCTCTAGGGAGAAAACAGGCGCTAAGAGGAAGTGTTCCTAAAACCTTGATTGAGGTTTATAATCTATGAAAGTCAAGGATTAGTCAGGATCAGTGAGCTGGAGAAGTGAGCTGGGGGAAATCCTTTCTCTCTGAGGTAAAGTAAAAGTTACAAGGAAGGAACGCCTTTGGGTTTCAGATACACATACACTCATCTGCCCTATGCACCCTGAGAGCCTGGATCTACAGTATCTGCTAATTGTTTCAAGGAATCTGTGGCCAATTTTTCTATCAGAAATGCACTATTTACATGCAAACTCCATTCATACATGTTTAGTTCCATGTATACTACTTTAGTCACAGATCCTGCCCATTTGGATTTCTGTCCCATCTCCCCGATAGTATCTCGTGGAAAATTTATGTTTGAAGGAATGTGACTATCAACAAGAAATATCTTATTTCATCCAGCTATAATTCTCTGGGCATTTTATAACATAAAGCTAAAAGAAAGTTTTCCTGTTCCTGTTCCTTTTTCATATATTTAATAAATTAATTTTTAAATCATACGACTGATATTTTTCTTTCAACTTTTCAAAACAGTAATACTGCTGTTCTCTGATTACAAGGAACTGAGGCTACAGAGTTTATTTTCTATTACTTATTACTACCATGATCTTTATCATTTTATTACTATTCCTACTTTATGGGAATAATAAGGCTACAAGAGGCTAATCTGTCTCACAAACTGCTGTGGAAGATTGGGAGCAGAGGAAAGACATTACTTTGCTCCAGGAAGCTGGGTGGTAGCAGCAGGAAATTCTACATACCCAATAACCAAAGTAGGGCTGAAAGAAAGTACTATTTATTTACCACACATCCCACTTTCAGATTTCACAAAATCTGAAAACATAAAACAGTGTCATGCTATTAAACCATTGCAACAAGATAAACCTACACTAGTGCACATCTAATTGTAGTATTTTATAACAGCATTCTCACTGTCCTCATGAGAAATTTATATGCAGGCCAGGAAGCCACAGTACAGACAGAATATGGTGAAACAGACTGGCTCATGGTTAGCAAAGGAGTGTGATAAGGCTATATATTCTTCTCTTATTTGTTCAAACTTTACGCTGAATATGTATTAAGGAAAATGAATGTGGTTTTAAAACTGGAGGAAGGAACCTCAATAACCTCTACTATGCTATCACTACCATGATAGCCGAAAATGAAAAGGATCTGCAAGCCCTAGAACTAAAATTCAAAAAAACACCATGAAAAAAAAATGGAATTAAAATTAAACATAAAAAAGATCAACCTAATGAGAATAGGTAGAACAACCAGCCTTAGACCTAAAATGAAGTTAAAAGTGGTAGATAGCTTCTGCCTTCAACGATCAACCATCAACAGTAAAAAAAAAAAAGTCCAGATGTGCTGCAAGCAAACACTAGGTAGAGTAGTCATAAGAGCCTTGAAAAATAGAGTCAAATGTTATGATGTGTTTTTTCCAATAAAATTCAGAATAGTGCAAGCCATGATATTCCCTATGACACTCTATGGAAGTGAAAGTTGGACTTTAAAGAAGCAGAATAGGAAGAATATTGACACCTTTGAACTTTGGTCTTAGAGAAGATTCCTGAGAATAATGTGGAAAGCCAGGAAAACACTCCTATAGATCTTTGAACAACTTAACCCAGAGTCCTCACTCAAGGCACAAATGACCAAGCTCAAATTAACCTATTTTGGACACATTATGTAAAGACCCAACTTTCTGAAAAAGGCTGTAATGCTGGGAAAGGTAGAAAGGAAAGAAGACGAGGACGAGCAGCAGCATGGTGGATGGATTCAGTTATATGACGATCAGTGCATCATTAGGAGACTTGAAAGAACAGGTTAGGGATAGATAATCATGGAGAAAATCTATTTATGTGGTCACTAGGAGTCAAAAACAGCACACAATCAATCAATTAATAACAGCATTTTCCAATACAATGTTCTTCAGATTTACTGTGACAACAATTTTCATTACTTTGAAGAAGAAGAATTTGTAAAGACATAGGAATTTGGATTTGTTGAGTTTTCATAGGTAATCTTCATAGCTATTTATAATTACTCCAATTTTGAATCATACTTAAATTAATCCTCCCTCTGGTTTCATCACAACATTTTCAGAATTACTCATGCTAGCATATTTTTATGTGCATTGTGTTTTGCTATATAAAACCACTGTTCATACTTAAGATTTCACTTAATGAGAATTATAAACCATGTAAACAGAAACATTTTATGGAAATTGTATACAAAATTAATTTTATTTATTTATTTATTTATTTATTAATTTAATTTATACCCCGCCCTTCTCCTCATGGGACTCAGGGCGGCTAACAGCCTCATAAAAACTACAATACAAATACAATAATTAAAAGCCGAATTAAAAGAAATATTTAAACAGGCCGATCATTAAAATTGTCCTTAAAAATCCCCTAAAAAACCCCGCTAAAATTCCCTNCGAGTCCCTCCCAACACCGCCCGCGCGGCCGCATTCTGGACCAGTTGAAGCCTCCGGGTGCTCCTCAAGGGGAGCCCCATGTAGAGAGCATTACAGTAGTCCAGGCGGGAGGTAACGAGGGCATGAGTGACCGTGCGCAGAGCGTCCCGGTCCAGAAAAGGCCGCAACTGGTGGATCAGGCGTACCTGATAAAACGCCCATGTACCCATTTTAATGTTTTCACTGACTAATCAGTAACTGATTTAAAATTTGATGTTCCCAATTAAATCAGGCAAGAGCTTTTGTGTTTTGTTTTGTTTTTTCATTACACTAACAAACAAAAATTACCTTTTTCTCCCATTCATTGTTCAGGGAATCTGTACTGTGCTCACATAACTTTTTTAACTCCAGAATTTGTTTCTCTTGAGCTTCTCTGATGACTTGTGACTCACGAACAAGTGTCTGAACTGTCAGAAAATAAAAACAACAAAATAAAATACTTGAGTTGATATTTAGGCTATTCTTTTTAGAAAGAGAGATGTATGTTATTGCTGATTTCAGTAATTTTCAAGCATTGTTCTTTAACATATGAAAATTGTCCTCAGTTGTATTTTTAAAGAAATAACTGAAAAATGTATAAAACAATCATAAACAAATTCATCATGATGTTTGGAATAATATTCTGATTGAATTTTATTTAAAAAAATAATTGTTTCTTCTATTGTTTCTTACCAAAGTTTAAATATATTTGCTTAAAAATTAAACCTTATTCCATTGGTCAGTGCTTTTTGATAGACTGGATAACAATTACCAGTCTATAGATTATCTCCACATCTATAATTACAGAATAGAATAGAATTTTTATTACAGTCACTGACCAGTATTGAAAACAGAAACACACTTAAAATAAAGTAAAAAAAAAAACCAAGATAAAATTTTACAATTGGTGATGGGTTCATTGATGGACAATCCAAGTCTGTCTAATTACAGGCAGTATAATAAAATTTAACTATGGTCAAGAAGACTAAATCAGCTCTGAGATAAAAAGTGAAGCAACATAATTTTGCTGTGAGTTCCCACTGACCCCTATAGTGAAACACTAGAAATAGCAACTTAGAACAGCTCTTCCAAGCTAGGAATGTATGAAGTTGAGTACATTATACACATCCTACTACCCTAATAAATAATTTCTACTTAAACAATCAAGCAAGCAAAAATAGAACTATAATAGCAAAATGACAATACAATCCTTTGGGAATTGAGAATGTCAATGCAATTCAAGCCAGGCACAGCCTGATCAAAGCACAAGAACGAAAACACAACATGCAAATCGCCACTTCAAATTTTGGATGACACAAGAAGAGCCGAACTGGATAAAAATAATGTCATGTTTAGTCCAGAATTCTGTTCCCACAGTGAAAATGTTTCCAATCAGCCCCTTTTTGTGCTTCACATTAACTTGTACCAAAAATAATGTTTTTTCCTATGGTAACATATAGCAGTTCAGATTAAATCTTACCCCTCATGAATTTGTCAACTCTTCAGGTTAGTTGCCTTCAGAACGATAGCATTATGGTACCATTATGCTTGTGGTATCAAATTCATACAATAAATACATTGCATCAGAATATATATAATTTACTAAAATTTTAACAAATTGGGTTTATTTACATCCAGATGTGAGAAATATTGTGAGTCTCTGATGAAGGACTATGTGTCTAATTTGATATGACTGACAACTCTATTCTAGTTAAACAGAATTTCAATCTGTCAGTTGTTTAGAAAAATGGTAGAGAATAATATATTCTCTCAAACTGCCTTCTGAGATCTAGATATCATCACTGGATATCTACCAAAATACATTAATGGTATGCCATTTTAGCATACCATGGGTGCCTGTTAGGAAAAGCAAGAGTCAAATAAAGCCATGGGTAGCATCACTTAGGGCACTAGTAAAACCTAAAACAATTTTTCCCAACCACAAATCCTCCAAATGTATTCAAATTCAAATTTTGAATTTTCAGAAATAGTCATACTGGCTAAGAATTCAGGGAATCAAAGTACATATATCTCGAGAAAGTTTAGGTTGATGAAAGCTCTCTTAAAGGCATTGTTTCCTAACATGCCTTTTCTTACTCTTCAGTTAAAAAAAAAAAAAAACAGAAGCCAATTTCCTCAAAATCATGCAATGCTTTATCTCAGAAGTTTTCCATCCCTAATCAAGAATGTGTTTTCCTTTGCATTTTGCTTGTTAAGAGAAAATTAGGTGAAATATAAACAAACAGGCAAGAAACAAACATCATTCATGCAGTTTTCAAGATCAATACAAAATTGGAAAATTGGACACCTTTTTTTTCAAGCTTCTGAATAGTCTCTTCAGCTTCATTCTGTTTTGTTCTATACAAGCTCTTCAGTACCTCAATTTCATTGTTTTTTCTATCCAGAATCTATAGCAAAAATATAAACACAGCAACATTGAGAAATGTGCATTTTTCATGAGGTAATCTCATAATATTTTTTTGAAAAAAAAACAACAGTGAACTGAGAATCTTACTGTTAAAGAGTTATTTAGCTTTGGTTTCAATTATCTTTAGTGAAAGAACACCTGAAAAACAAGGAAAACATTATACCTAAAACTGATGGAAATTTCTTTCTTCAAGGCATCCATATCCTTTTACAATCTTACAAAGAATTTTGAAGATTAACACATTCTAAAGGGCACCTTTAAAATACCAGTTAGAGTATTATTCTAAATGTTCTGCTTAAATCATCTGAGATTCCCAACAAGAAAAAAACCTTCAAACAAAGGGCACATTTAAGATTTACAGAACTGGTGTTCAGTTTGCAAACTAACAAGGAGGAAAAAAAGGATTTGTTGTTACTGTAAAATACCACTGGACTTGCACAGCATGTAGCCTTGTGTATCTTGACAGCGCTTTTTAAAAATTCAATAAATGACCACTGCCAAAAGTTGCCATTACAAAAAAGGATCCACTGCTACCCCAAAGACATATTGACAAGTGCCTTCAAAACTTATTGATATACCTGTTCCATTGCTGGGTGCATGCCACTAGTCATCAAACACTGGTTGGTATGCCAGGTATCAATGTGGCCCTTTCCCCTCTATAGGTTATGCAGCTCTGCCATACGACATTTCATCTAGAAACTCTACTATCAGTCAACATACTTCAAAAAGAAATAAATGGCAATGTCTGTATTATAAGCCCTCTTTTAGAACTTCCAAAAGTATGATATTTTATTTACATACATTTGGTAATCAGTTTAGTCTTTTTATGTTCTCAAATAAGCATTATTCTCCATATCATATTTTCTGGTAACAACTTCATTTTTTAAATTCTTTTTTTCCCCTCTACTCATATCTCTATCAATTCAGGACTGTCTGTATGTTGTGAAATTAAAGAATTTTCATCATGTCTTCTGACTGCTAATATGTGTTTGTGGATAAGTACTGCCAGCTTTCTGCTTGTTTGTCCTACATAGTGGTTGTTGTAGTCCTTACATTGTATGTTGTAGATGACTCCTGTTTTTTCTTCTGGGGTTGCTGGGTCTTTTGGTCTGCTTAGGATGTTTTGAGGGGCTTTAGGTTGGCTTGTATGCTACCCTGATTCCATGAGGTTGTAGTAGTCTGTTGGTGGTTTCTGAGATATTCTTGAAGTATGGCAGTGTAATTCTTGTTAGTTTGTTTACATCAGACGTGTCAAACTCGCGACGTCATGTGACATCGCACAACATATCGGAGCTTTTTCGCCATTGCCGGCAATGGGGTAGGCGCGGCTCCGGTATGATGAAACCGGCCCGCGGGCCAGCAGTTTGACACCCCTGGTTTAGATTATGTTGTTTGGGTTAAGTGCTCATGGACTTTTTGATAAAGTTGAGTGGATATCCATTTTGTTGGAATATGTTGTATAGATGATCTATTTCCTTTTTCTGCTATTCCGGGTTGCTGCATACACATCTATACATGCAAAGATTTGTGGCTGCCTTTCAACGTCCTTTTCAGTTTTCTTATTTTCATGGAAAGTCTGGATGCCAGACAAGATTACATGGTAGTACTAATAGTAGATAAAATCAATGCAATTCACATCAAATACTTCTCATATTAAATACCAATATATATCTATTTTACTCAACTTCATATATTCAGGATTCTTACTCACAGCTCAATCATGAACTGGAAGAAGTTAGCCAACAAATATTTCCACTGACAAGGAACACTTTCCTTAATAAACAAAAGTTTTTGACACTTTTTTAAAATTGGTTCTCTTTACCCAGTTTTAGCCCTTTGTGTGGAAAACAGATCAAATTTTACATTGTATTTACTCAGAAATATTAAACATTCAAAAGAGTTAATATTTTCATCAATAAAACAACTACATCCAATATTATTGGATACCATTTAGAATATATCTGACAGGTATTTTCTACAGAAGTGATTTTAGATTCAATTGAGGTTGCAGAATTTCCTACAATATAAGCTTTAGTCCCTGTGAAATAGATCCATGGCCCTCCTGACTTTTCCAAGCAGCTAAGGAAGGGGTGATGGCTAAATCTAGTACTTCTTTGAAGGAGGAAGCACTGAAAGAGGCAGTGGGTACATTCTCTCCTGAGATTTCTTTCAATTCAGCCATGCAGACAACCTCTTTTAATCTTCCTTTTTTAATGGAAGACTTTGGATAATCCTGGAGTAAGCAGATTAGCCAGCCTCCAGACCAAGTCTTGGAACAGAAACGGCACTCTTTACTCCAGCAGATTATCTTTTCCTTGGGCCTGAAGGGAGGTGAACCACTGAATCCTTCCATAACATCTAACTCAAGCCCTCATCACTTCAAGATGGGATTATTGCAAAGTTTTACTTAGGATTGTGTCTGAAGACCATTCAGAAACTGTAGTTAGTTCAGAACGTAACAACCTACTTAAGAGTGGTTAAGAACTGCTACAGTGGGACTGCACTGGTGCCATAGATACTGCACTGACTTCCTAAGTTTCCAGGTACATGTGCTGGTTATTATCTGTAAGCATTTTAAGGCTGGGTTTGCACAAGACCTCCTCATCCTGTATAATCTACCCAAGAAGCAATATTCCAAATTCCCTCCGCCAAATGGTATGAGAGGAGAGAGAATCTGGAAGTATGACTTCTCAGGGACAGCTCTGGTGCTATGAAATAGTGTGCCCCAGAAGTTAGGATGGCTGGCTATCCAGAATACGAGGGATAATGCAACACTCTCCAGAACTCTATTTTTTAATTGTAAATTATGAAACTGACATTATGATTTTCTTATATGTGGATTATAATTGAATATTATTTGTTGGTTTGTTTTTCACATTTCTGAAGTGCCATCTCCCTCAAAGAGGAATTATTATATTTGGAATCTGAATATCATTATATTTATATTGGTTGGTGTGTGTATGAGTGAAAATACAAATGCAGCAAGCTCAAATGCTGATTACCGTGTTTCCCCAAAAGTTAGACCCAGCCCGATAGTTAGCCCTAACTTGATTTTTGGGGGTGGGTCTAATATAAGCCCTACTCCAAAACTAAGCCCTAGTTTTGGGGTGAGGCACATCCCTAAAAATCAAGATAGGGGAGAGTGAAGCTGTTCCAGCGCCCCGCATCTGTTTACCTTACTGGTAGGACCACCACAGCCAGACCTCCCACACCCCGACATCTGGCATGCCCTGCTTGATTTCTTCTGTGGCCACTTGCCGCCACTTGTGGCCGGCCACCATATGGCGCATTGCACCGTTGCCACTCCTCCAGGCAGGACGCCGCATGGCGCTTCAGGCTGTTTCTGTTGCTCGCGGCAGGAGGCCATGTGGCGCTTTGGGCTGTTTCCGCTGCAGAAACAGCCCAAACAGCCATGCAGCATCCTGCCACAAGCAGCAGAAGCGGCGCAAAGCACCATGTGGCGTCCTGCCGGGAGGACGGCAATAGCGCAATGTGCCACATGGCATCTGGCCGCAAGTGGCAGCAAGTGGCCAAAGTCAAGCAGTGGCACGGCAGGTGTCAGGGTGTGGGAGGCCTGGCTGCGGTGGTCCCAAGGTAAGACATTTTCCGAAATTAAGACCTAGTGCTCCTTTGGAGGCAAAAAATATATAAGACCGTGTCTTCATTTCAGGGAAACAAGTCATTGTCAACTCTTAGCACAAATAGATTTTCTCCATGATGTGCCTAACTTAGTCCTACATACAAATATCTTTGATGTATCTGTGTAAACCAACTGATTTAGCAAAATGAAGCCATTTCCAGTCCTAAAACAGATGAGCTATTGATGGTCAGGGGACTTACTTTTTGGTAAATGAAAGTAGTGCTTATTTCATTAACACAGAATGATAAGCGAATGACAGATTTTCTCCTTCTATCTCTGCAAGGTTTGGGGATTTCTTTTCTCCTTTGATTTTAAATTATTTTAACTTTTCAGTACAAAATGTCACAAAATTGCATTGCCAAATCTTGGCGCTTTTAGATAGATAGTATACCAGGATGCAAAAAAAGGGTTCAGTGACAAATATTATTCTATGCCTCAGGTTAGGCACCCATCATAAAATAATTGTTCTGAAATGACAGGAAATGCAATAATGATGGCAAACGATGTGATATTTTCCTTATAGTCATTAATGCATCATTAAGACTCATTATTTCAATTTATAAGAATCTGTTACTATCAATGTTTAAATGCAGCCAATGGAATGCTAATGCCAATATTCAGATGTTACATAGGAATTTTATATTAGATATTTCTTTGTGTTACAAGTATTACACAAAAATCTCCACCATATCCTTTGAATTAATATACTGTACCTTTTGAACATCTGCATCGTGCTTCTGCTGTAATTTAAGTTTTTCTTCATGAAGTCTAGCTTCCATCAATTTTGATTTCATCTCCAGCTGCAAATTGGATGTTGCACATACTGATCAGTTTTACAGATGACACTTAACCCTTCCCTATAAATCAAAACAGCTTCAAGAACCTTTACATCTAAAATAACAAAGACCCACTGGCAATTTATCTAGCCTTCTGTGAATAGAACACAAATGGGTTGATCTTTCTCTGATGATGAACTAAAGAGTCACAAATCTTACAGATAATTAATTTCCTTGGGATAGAGAAGCCGTTTTGATTCAGTCAAGCGTCTACAAGGTCATCTCTTGGTCACAAAAGAATGCTTTTTGACAAATTGGTTAATATTTATTTTAAAATGTATTTAAGGAAACCTTGTGAATACATACCAATAAAACTAAGCATTGCTTATTTGGGCTAACATTAGCCAACCAGCAATGATACCTTTTTTCTGACTGTTCACTGTTTTTTTAATCCTCATATATTAATATATTGGCCTCATCCTACACACCTACCAGTTTGGTTGGGATTCTCATCTCTGTCCTTTAGCACTTGACATCCTGCCTCAGCTGTTCCTAACAACTTATACAGGAAGAAGAAGAGGCAAAATAATAATAGACAAATCAGCATGGCTCATTTTCAACTGAAAACCACAGCTAAGTATCTTGAACCAGGATAGATTTGTTTTAAGAACCTCCTTTTCTTTTACTAATTATATCATTGAGAAATGCACTATAAATCAACAGCCACATCCAGAGTAGAGTTTGCAAAGAAGAAGAAAAATGCTAAAAAAATTCTTTTATTCAGGGCTGCTCTGCAGAGCCTTAGGAAGCTGTAGACCCTTCGCAGAGCTTTGGAAAAGTAAGGGCAGCTCTCCTTTTCTTTTTTTTCCTCTATGAAGCCAGCTCAGGAGCACAGGAAAAGGGACATTTTCAGATGCTGCAGCCAAGGGCTGGTTTTAATATTTTTCTTCTTCTTCCTCTTCCTAAAGTGCCAGGCTGAGAGGATTACATTGTTTCAGGCAATGCCTATTTTCACAATAGATGTTCTATTTAAGAATAGCAAAAAGATATATCTAAATTTATATTTCAAGGGAAAAAACCAAGAGTTAATATAAAGTGTTATAAGATCCAAAGGAAAGAGGAGGATTGGGTTTACTGGATTTAAAATTGTATTTCACTGCTTGCTGTTTGGTCTGGATGAAAGAGTAAGTGTTGCTGAGAAATAAGAGACTTTTACACTTGGAAGGTAAGGTTTGGGTGGCATTTATGGTATCATAAAAATAATCCTAGATAAAGTTCTGTTTATACAAATATTGTATAATATTCTTATCTAAAGAAATGTATATAAAGTAATATACAGATAAACACTTTTTGCATATTCATGTTATTTATGACAGTATCCCCTTCTTATAACTTTAATATCATTTATTTTCTTCTTTTTCTTTTAACAACTTATATGCCAACCACTTCCCTTTCCCCTACATACTTTGTTTTATCTTTTGCAAATAGTGATTTTTTTTGTTGCACTTATACTCTATGTTAAGCATTTGTAATTCATAATTAATCCAAGATTTTAGAAAAGTGAATATTTGTACTGCCTAATGTGGCGTCTTCTCCAATGTCTTGTATCTGTTCTGGCATTTGTTTAGTTTCATCTGTCACTGTCACTTCCCTTTGTGTCTTGTCCAATTCTTAATTTTTTTCAAAAAAATCTTTTGCTTTCTGCAGAGTTCAACCCAAATTTCTATTGTTTGAGGGTAAAAATCACCCATTGCAGCACACCACCTAAATGGAATTTTCTTGTTTGTCAGAAAAGGTACGATTACATTTGTATTATCAATACTCATCCTAGTATTAAAATGCTTCTGTAGAAATTAATCTCTTGTTTTCTTCCCGACAAAGTGTACAGGGACATCCCCTGGACCATTTTTGCAAAATGCATATTGATCCTTTAGCTTAAATCAATCTGTCTATCAACATTGTCTTCCTCCCAATCCAGAAATCCAGACAGAGACTTAAGGATCTTTTCTCTAATGTCATTGTTCTAATTCTTAAAACAAAATTATTTTTCTCTCAATTTCAGTAATGCCAGATTGCCCAAGTCATTCTCTGTATTTATAACTTCTGTCTTAGTTTCCAAAACCTGTACTGTGTCAGTAACTTGTTTCAAATCTGCAGCCAGTTATCCTCAGATTCAATTTTCTTAACTTCTTCTTTCAGATCTTTTTTCATCGCTGCAAATCCATTTACTTTTTAACTGTTGCAGACATATTTTTACCAAATTCTTCAAATAGTTTCTTCAATAAATCTGATACAATACCCTTATCAGTAAGTTGTTCTAGTGAACCTGCGTGTCCTTCTCCCATTTTGGCAGCTTTTCTTATGGTTGCCATGGTGAGAAAGTGAAAGTATGTCAGTTACTATGGTGAGAAAAAAGTTAGGATTCTTGTTTTATTCTGCTTTTCTTTTCTCTATCCTGCCAATTAGCTTTCCAAAGTCACAATCAAACAGTTTAGCTCTTGTCTTCTTGTTTTCCAAAATCCACCAATTATTACTGTCCTTTTATATAAACAGTCACCTTCCCACAGTAGTCTGGTCTGTTAGTCTATTCAAATTTTCAAAGATATTTTTGTCAAAGAAAAAAAACATATATATATATATATATTTTAAAAAATCACTGTCCTCCTTTTCCATTTGAAGCTTTCTAATATCACAATCTTGCCTTTGTAATCCTTTAAAATAGGGTTTTTTCCTCTTAATTTCAAAAAGAAGACACTCATCTTGATTCTTTAAACTTTATTGCTGTTCGAAATATGTCTATTAGAACAGATTGTAAAACAAACCATAAACTTATTAAGAAGGTGAGGTTTTTTAAAGCAATGGATGGAAACTAATCAAGGAGAGATGCCAGCTAGAACTAAGGAGAAATTTCCTGACTGTTAGAACAATTAATCAGTGGAACAACCTGCCTCCAGATGTTGTCAATGCTGCAAAACTGGAAGTTTTTAAGAAGAGATTGGACAACCATTTGTCTGAAATGGTATAGGGCAGTGATGGCGAACCTTTTAGAGACCGAGTGCCCAAAAACTGGCCCCGCACCGCTCTACCCCCTGCCCCCACCCCGCCTGCCCACAGGGCCACTCACCACCTCCAGGGCCCGCCACAGATCGCACAGCAGCGCCATGGCTGCCATGCCCTCTGTCCGCGCCCCGCAGCATCAACTGTGCGCAATGGGGCAATTAGGGCAGAGTCTTGTGTATGCTGTCTGGCTGCACTGCTCCGCGTGGGCCATGCTCGGGGGTGACTCTCCTCCAGGGGGACTGCTGGTGAGGAGGGGGTCGCGGGGGAGGCAAGGCTGGGGCAATGGCACGTGTACCAAAGAGAGGGCTCCGAGTGCCACCTCTGGCACCCATGCCATAGGTTTGCCACCACTGGTATAGGTTTTCTGCCTGAGCAGTGGGTTGGACCAGATGACCTCCAAGGTCCCTTCCAACTCGGTTATTTTGAAAGTCAAATGTCCATAAAAAAGCTATCCAACAATTTAGAGTAAATACTCAACTCCCAAGATACTTGACTTATCATCAACTGCAAGAAAAGTAAATTTCTGCATTTTTTGTAAGAAGCTGTTCTTCCAGAGTACAAATGGACTATTCCCTCAATTTCTCTTTCTTCTGGAGTAATTTTCTATCAGCCAGAATCAACTTTTGGCTGGCAATTCCATCATTGTCCATCTAACTGGCCATAACATCTCATCTGGAAGCTGAATACTCCTGAAATATCTTATTTTATTTTTATAATTAAAGACCCAGTACTACTCCCTTTATTTAGATAATATCTTTATTTTTAAACTTTTCCTACATTCAAGAATAGAAATATTACTGAACATTTTTTCTTAAATTGTTTACAGAGTATTCATATATATTTGTAATTAAGTTTACAGAATAATTTCTCACATTATGAAACATTTTAATTATGGCAAAACTCCACTATATTTAATGTGGATTCAGCCACAGAATGACGTATCGGCAATAAAAATGTTATAAAGGCAGAATTAAAAGATACATCTCTGGAGATTGTACCAAGTTTGACGGAGACTGTGCAAGCAGCCAAATCCTATATGCAGAGCAAGGAAGAAACCAAGCTTCAATTCCAAGGATTTGTCACATAGGCCAATTTTTAATACTCAAGTAATAAGTAAACTAGGCAGAGAATATAACTCTTAAAGTATGATTACAGCCAAGCGATTACTCTTACTGTGAAATGCAGTAATCCTAATCACTGTTGTAATGGTTATATACTATATGAAAACTTAGCACAAAATAGTTAACATTTATAACATGTTTTCAGAGCAACAGATACGGAGGGTTGAATGACTTTTGGGAAGTATGGTCTGAGAAGAAGGAGCAAGTGGTGAAAAAAAGGACAGAAATTTAATATCGAATTATCCCCTGAAAGAACTAGAATGACCTTTAGAATTTTGTATTTGTGTGTTTTTAGCCTGATTACATGTATATGATTTTAAACCTCTTAATACCAAAGGCGCATAACTTTAGAATAATTCATTATACTGACCCACGCACTTTGCCCTCCTGTACCCACCATGAGCAACCTGGCCAAGGAGAGCGAGCACAGCAGTAGCAGCCTTAAGGAGGAGGTAAGTGCAGCTGGGTGCCCCCTCGGAGAAGTGGGGCTGGGCTAGGCTGCGGGATCCTGGTGCCGTGGGAGCTCGAGAGCCAGGTTGGGCACTTGACTTCTGCTGCCCAGGGCTCTAGGCAGTCTGTGCCACTGTCCAGGGATGAGTGCCGCAGAGCTATCCTATGTGATTGCCACGTACCCCTCTCTGGCCTTACCACATGGCGGAGAGGGCGACTGGGAGCTAGCCGATGCTCAGCTTGTGCCACCACGTGCTCCCATCTCTCCTTTTGTCCCACAGGCTGGGCGTGCCCTGGGGCGCTAGGCTTACAGAACTCCATGGCCCGAGTGAGGAGAGATGAGGCCCTGCAAAGTGTGGCGAGGTGTGGTGAGGCGTTGCCCAGCAAAGGAGA